TTAGAAGATGTAATGTAAGTGTAAGCGGGGCACTTAAAAATGTTAAATACGGTACAGGATTGGAGAGAGGATTAACATGGCACTGTTTTGAATGGGAGTGAAATTTATAGCCGTTTGCGGATTAAAAGAGCGGTCCGTGAAAGTCGTTCTTCCAGAAGAGCGAATAGAATTCCGTTCTTTATTCGGAAGCGCGGCGTGAAATTTTCTAAAGGGCCCTGTTAGATCGCCTCGGGAGCGATAAATTTACGGCAACTTCCGAACGAATTCCGAGGAGGATGCGAAACTTCTCCACGCGAATTCATATTCCCGTCCCGTGGCTTAACGCTTCGGGACAACCGGAGAGCATATTAATTGGTGATTAACCGAGCGCATCGCTAATTAGAAAGTCCGATAATCGAAGGGAACTCGAGTGCTTCCGGTGTTCCGTGAATACCGGTCCCGCACACGTCCCACCTGCTTGTCGTATTAATGCAACTCTTAACAGGGAATGGAATCGACGATCTCGTCGAATCAAATTTGATAACTGAACTTCGTTCGACGAGTGTCTCTACCGATTGAAATACCAAGATCCAATCTCCATTAACGTAATACGAGGTGCAACGAGTGGTTTAATATTTCATTTACTACATAATTCGGTTTTTTTTTTTTATATCTGATTTACAGTCATTCGTCGGAATGGGACTTACCTCGATACTGAAATAACCCCTGTCCACGTAGTCGCCGAGGAAGAGATACTTCGTCGTGGAGGGTGACCCGCCCACCTCGAATAACTTCATCAGGTCGTAAAACTGGCCATGAATATCGCCGCATACTGCAACACAAACAGGAACGGCGCATGTAGCATCGAGTCTTACTAGATCAGCCTGATTAATCGAGCGCGATTGATGCGTCAAACGTGCGCAAACATACATCTAGCTAGACGGATTTCCTCTCGAGGCTGGGTAAATGCTCGTTTGCAAATGTTCTCAAAGTGAAATTACTCAGCGAGCTCGAGCTCGGGAGCGAAGTTTGCAGAACTTTTGGTTACTTGGCGAACTATACGTGGGACGAGACGGCAGCTACTTTCCGACGTTTAGGGGGAAAAAAAAAAGCTATTCTCGTGTCTGTCACAGCGGCTGAGCTGGTCAAAGCTAAACGCAGTTGAAGAGGACAAACGTGACTCGTACCACGAATATGCTTCCGGAAAACCGGATTTTCATCCGCTTCACTCAGCGGAGATCCTTCACGCGGGATTTAATTCGCATTTGAAGCGATAAAATTTTGCGTGGGAACTCACTTTTTTTAGAAACTAAATCTCTTCACCTAAAGTCCTGTCTTCTTAGATTTTACTCGTACAATAAATCATGAAATTGTACTTCACGTGAATTGATAATATAAAGTAATAACAATTTCTTTAACCAGTTAAGTGTGTTTGACGACTATATCCGTCATGGAAGAATGACAGAATTTTGTGTTATGACGGCTATATCCGTGAATAAATTCATTCATTTTCTAAAATAAAGTCGTCTTTTTGATACAATATTTCAACAGCGCCACTTACTCTGTGTTTGACGACTATATAGTTTAACCAGTTAAGTGTGTTTGACGACTATATCCGTCATGGAAGAATGGCAGAATTTTGTGTTATGACGGCTATATCCGTGAATAAATTCATTCATTTTCTAAAATAAAGTCGTCTTTTTTACCGAATATTTCAACAGCGCCACTTACTCTGTGTTTGACGACTATATCCGTCATCGCTTGATTATCGCGACACGCACTGGGGCGCATTTTGCAAAATGACCGACACAGTTAACTGGTTAAATAATTTTCTGTTCGTTTAATTCGTGGGTCCTAACATGAGATGATTTATTTATTCATAGACTGAGAATCTTTGGTTTGACTTTTTTATATACAATTATCCTGAGTGTTTCAGACAACGGAAATTATTCGATTCTCTCAGGCATACGGGAAGAACTTCCTTCGTCGATGTAAGCATTCGCTCTATCCATACTGTTCTACGTTTCACTCTCAGCTGCGTAATTCAGCAACAAGTGGCAACTTTCCTCTCGCTTTTATTCGACCGCGATCGAAGGGACCGCTCGATGTCTGACCAGGCACGCGCCTATACTACTGCGCGCCGAATGTACGCGAGAACTGGTATGATTAATGGAGGACTTCGCAACGTCTCGGCATATTTTCGTACAATCCTGTTCAAAAGTCATAGAATACTTCCAAACGTTAATTACGTATCACATAATCAGTTAAATATTCCAAATTACTGATCATAGTAATTGAAATAAATGAATCATTAAATATAGAAATCATGCGATAAACCATGAATTTTAATAATATAATTTAATATAAATTTTCATGTATTTTAATAAACAATTCATTAAGCAACTGGTTCATTTGACGTAGCGTTATGAAACTTTTCCAAATGGAGGACTTTCATTTTCTCGGTCTCATTTTACTGCCCGATCGTTAATGATTGCCAGTGAAAGTAAATCTGACAATTGTTTGGCAAAGAAGACGAGCAACTAATTTCTGTGAGTTTGATTACCTCAATCAATCGCATTGGGATTGTTTACTCTTCCTGGTTTAACGAAATCCGCCCCAATCAGCCTGGCTACACCGAAAAGAACTCGTCCGTCGCAAAAGCGTGGCGGACAATAAAAGGAGGGAGGGAAGGCCATCGCAAACAGTAGGAGAGATCGGAATCTCGTTACGTTTGGAACTAGAACCGCTTGCAATCAGGCCTCGGTGCGAGCGGAAAGAGAGCAGAGAAACGGAGGATAAAGGGGAGTGGAACCCCTTTAACTTAGCGGAGGTTCGTTACTCCAATTGATTCGCGACCTCGTTTTAATTAGACGCACTCACGCCCGAGAGGCCATCGCGTGCGAGACGAATGCACGTCGTCACGAAACCACGCGTGCACGCACGCCAATCTCAGTTGCAAACATTTTGGAAAATTATTTTCATTTTAAAACGTCTAAATTATGTCAAAACCCAACAGCATCGATGCTAGAACGAGTATTGAAAAAACAAGACATAGACGTATTATTCTTTTTGAATCTTGTCCTTTTAGGGATAGTTAACACTAGCCGGATCTGGCTAGGAATCATTGTCAAGAAAGATTCTATGAATTTTTCTATTAACTACTTCACTTACTTCAGTACTTAACCAGCTTTGTATGATTAATCAGCATTTTATGGTTTCTGGCAAAATCCGGCCGTCCCAGCGTCGAAACAGCGAATTTTTGGAAAAAAAATTTCGTTTTTTGTCAATAACTCCCGAACGGATGGACGTAGGGGGGTGACGTATAGGATCATTTTGTAGGGGACGACGAGATCTACAATTTCCATATAAAACTTTTTCACTAGCATCAATATTTAACGAGTTATTGACGAAAAACGAAAAAACAGTT